CTTTTTTTTTTTTTTTTTTTTTAAGACAAGGTAACACTCTGTAATACAGGTTGGCTTTGAACTCACTATGTAACTTCAGCTGGCCTTAAAGTTGCAGAGATCTTCCTGCCTCAGCCTCCTATGTGCTGGGATTACAGGCATGCACCACCATGCCTGGCGTAATTGAGTACTTCTTGTCCATGTGGTCTGCTCATAGTATATTGGCAACATAACTTTCAGTGATTTTCATCCCATGAATTCTTCACCCGAGTCATGACCTCTTGCAGGCTAGGCTTCACAAAATTTCCACTAAAGATTTAGAAGACAAGAATGGTGCTGGGCGTGGTGGCACACACCCTGTAATCCTAGCCCTTGGGAGGCTGAGGCAAGAGGATTGCCACAGGTTTGAGGCCTGCCTGGGCTACATAGTGAGTTCAAGGCCAGCCTAAACTATATAGCGAGACCCTGTCTCCAAAATAAAAAGAATAGCAAAAAAAAATGATGAAAATTAAGAATAATCTACACAAATGTGACAAAGACTTGCAGACACTAAAATTCAGAAAACGTTTATTTCACATGAGTGCATTAAATATGTTCCATTGCAGCACATGACATGTTGAATTATGAAGATTCATATTAGATACAGCCATGTCCATTTATTGTCAAGTGCACATATTATTTGTACATTGTATCTGCACTCCATTTGGTCATTAGGTAGTAAGTCTCAGGTTCATCTGTTTAGGCATTTACCTCTTCTCCAAAGGCACCCACTTTGGTATTTACAGGTACTTAATTATAACTTAAGTTATTTATTTTAAGTATTAATGTCAATGGTATTACTTGTTTGTGTTTATTTTTATTTCATTTTTTGGTACCAGGGATTGAACTCAGGACCTTGTGCTTGGCAGGCAGACACAACACCACTGAGCTAAATCTCTGGCCCCTGTATTTAATTATATATTAATATTATAATTCAGCACAACTGTCATATCTTGGCAACAGATACACTAACTGGGGTTTTTCTTTTGGGGTAGGCTTATATTATGAGCACTGTGAAAAATCATGCTAGGGCTTATTTTCCATTTAGGTCTTATTTTGGGGAAATATGGTAGTTGCTCTTCACCCTTTGTCCCATATTATGAATTTTCCCTAAGACTCTTTGGCTAGCTGCCAGAGTACTTTGCTATCCACAAAGTACTATTAGCTTGTTTGCTTTTTGGTTTCAAATACCAGATGTCTCATGACCTGCAGATTCCACATGTTCTGATTTTTGTGTATCTTTGTATACATCTGGCTGGGGGTAAAGTGAGGCTTCCAAAAGTGAATCTCAGTCCTGCCCTTTGTCTGAGTCAGAGAACATCCTCTCACAGTAAGTCTCCATGCCCTCACAGAGCTGAGCTCAATGTTGGAGTGTCACTCAGTGATGGAGTGCTTTCTTAGTGTGTTCAAGGCCGAGTTCAATCAACAGCACTACAAAAAAAGAGAAAATAATAATAAAATTAAACCAAAAATCTGGCTCCTCTGTTTGATACCCTTTCAGGGATGATTCAAACCATATAACATCTTTTAACATTTTATTTGGACACGTTGAGAGCATGTTTTAGAGGAGCTCAGGTTGAAGAGACATTTATACACTATTTCAGTATAATCCTGGGTAAGTAAAGGGCTTGAGAAGAGACTTTGCCTCTAATTCAGGATAATCTGGCTTGGACAAGAAGAAAATTTAAAATATAGACCCTGGTTTAACCAGTGTTTGAATGTTTTTCTTTTCCAATTTTAAGTTTCAAGTGTCGTCAGATGTATCACGCCCCCACAGACTGCGCCACAATCCGGAAATGGCTCACGAAGTGTGCAGACGACTCTGAAACGGCCAACTACATTAGTGCTCACACTAAAGACGTAAGGACCATATCTTACCTGTCATGGATCTGCCCGCAGTATTGCTGCCCGGGGCCCTGCCCTGGTGATTTAGTATCTGAGAGCAGAACACAGGGAGCCCCAGAGCTTTTGCTGTCAGCTGTGGACACACATCCAAACTTGGTAGAATTTGCAGCAACTTAACATAGGATGCATTGGGGTGCATTTATTATAATAAAATGGTAAACTACTTGAAAAGTTTGACCAAAAGGAGAACTAATTAGAAGAAAACTAGTTTTATTGAACACCTACCAGGCTTTAACAGCCCTCGGAAAAGGGGATGGTTACTGTCATACCTGATAAATTGTAAGATCTGCCTGGTTCTCATTTTGCACCTTCCTGTGGGAAAGCAGGGCATGCAATCTTGCGGGGGGCCACTGTGCCCTCACCGAGTCCATACACTCCGCAAGCACAAGCTGTGACCATGATACCATTAAACATTGCCTGCTTCATGGCAGTGAGTCTTAGCGTCAAGCTAGCCTCAAATTGCTGCCTGGGTTACCTGGTCTTTCCCAAGTGAAAGAGTGGAGCCTTAGAGGTAGTTTCCAATGCCCTTTTCTGAAAGCAAAAGTCCACAGTCTGACCAGAACTTAATCCCTTGTGATTCTGATCTCTTAGGCTTAATCTGAGCAGCTTCATGGCAGGGACAGATGGTAGAAGATGTAGTGGGGCTCAGCTTCTACTTGAATTGTTTCAAAGCCAAACATGCTGACCTCATTTCCTTGAATTGCTGTTCCAGCCTCAGCGACCTGCCACATTTAAGTGAGATGTTCCTCCCCAGACGTGCTCGCACGATGAGCTACTAGGCACTGGTGCCAGGAGCTTTGTGTAATTTGTCTTAGAACCAGCCTGATGGTGCGTGAGCCTAATGGCACCCTTCTGTCTCCTCAGTGTCCCAAGTGTAACATCTGCATTGAGAAGAATGGAGGCTGCAATCACATGGTGAGCAGAAGCCTGTACACTTTGCATGTATGACATGGAGACTTTGGTCAGCGTGCCCTTAATGTGTTCTCTTCTGTTTCCCTCTGACAGCAATGCTCCAAATGTAAACACGGTGAGTCCCAGGACTGGTGCTTAAGGCCTAATGGCACGGTCTGTGTAATCTTGTGTTTAGGTCTCCACAACGCAGTTTAAAGAAGAATGACAGCTGGGCATGGTCACCTGTGTATGTAGACCTATATCCTTAGGAGACTGAGGAAGGAGGATCACTTTTCATAGGATGTCAAGGCCAGATTGAGCAACATAGTGACACTTGCCTCTGGGGTGAAAAGCATGTGGTAGTACACACCTGTAATACCAGCTGCTTGGGAAGCTGAGACAGGAGGGTTTGTGAATTTGAGTCCAGCCTGGGTAACTTAGTGACTTTAGCAAGACCCTGTCTCAAAAAAGGCTAAGGAAGAAGCTCAATGTAAAGGACCAGGGTTCAGTTCCTTGTACTCAAAAACAAATGAGAGAGAACAAGTACTCCATTATCCTCCTCATTCCTTGTGCCTGAGAAGCTTCCCATGTGCCCTCCCCCAGTCACAATCTCCCTGTCTTTATACACCCAGAGTCAGTTATGATCCCTTGCTGCTATGTAATTACACCACTTAGTTGAGCAAGTCTGAGACATGTATTGACTATTTATTTATTTTATTTTTGGTACTGGGGATTGAACTTGGGCCTCTGTGCTTGTGAGGCAGGCAGCGGCACCACTGAGCTAAATCCCTGGCCCTTGACTTTAAAATAGGAAAAAGCAAGCTGGTTGTGGTAGTGCGATCCTGTAATCCTAGCAATCTGGGAGGCTGAGACAGGAGAATTGTGCAAATTCGAGCCTATCCTGAGCAGTTTAGATAGCGGTACTGTCTCAAAATAAAAGATAAAGGGCTGATGTTCAGCTCAGAAAAGGAAAAGGAGTAAGTATAACAAGTGTAATCTAGGTGATTAGAGAGGGCAATGTTAACACTGTTCGATGAATGTCTCTAGGAAAAGAGAAGCTGAATGACGTCTAGGTCTCTGTTTTCCTCAAACTTTACAAGAGTCCCTTTTAGAAAGTCATTTGCCAATTTAAAAGAATGAATCATGGGAAATAGGGTTTACCACTAGCAGAGTTTCTGGCAGAGACAGCTAACAAGGGTCAGGTTTGTCAGGTGTAGGGTGAGAGGCTCTGCCTCTGAAGAGTTGAGGGATTTGGCGCCATACAACACAGCCATGCATGCTTCTGTTTGTGTATCCACAAGTGCTGATATTGGACCTGCTGAGAACCCAGCCCTCTGCTGGATGTCCAGGAGATTTCTAAAGAGTTCTGTTAGGTCATCCTTCTAGAGCAGGATCTGTTTATCCCAGAACTGTGCATGATCCCTTTCCATTAGACTGTATTGCTGATGTATGGCGTCCTTAGGGGGGATCTTTAGCTTTTCTTCACTGTAGAATCAGAGTCATAATTCTGATAATGACTGTTGGATATATGTGGTTTTCATAGAAATGTGTAGCTTTGTTTTGTTTGATACAAATGCTATATAGTTCAGGTTGGTCTTGAACTCACTATTTAGCACAGGCTGGCCTTAAACTCATGGTGATCCTCCTGCCTCAGCCTCCATGTTCTTTACATAAAAGGATAAATGCCTTTATTTACAGCTTCATTTATGAAATTATTCTTAGGTTGTGAGGGTGGGAGGTAGTCAGGAGGTGGTTTTATAGATGGTGTGTTCTAGGTGACTAGGTGGGGCTCATTTGGACAAATTTTTGTTGCAAGGCATTGACCCAGACCAGTGATCTTGTACAGTAAGTATCTATTAATTTTGTAAGGCATACAGCACATGGAGAGTATCTATAGATCATTGTCAGCAAAGACAGGGAATAGGGATAGTGAGGTGTTACAGGGATAAACATATACATTTCCTCTGGGGGAAAAATAAAGGGGAAAAAAAAACCTTGGGAAGGTCTGGCTAGCTGACTCCCCTGCAGCAGGCTCTGTTTATCCCACTGCCTTTTCTATGCATGAGGTTGTCTTGTATGTATAAATAACTCATCATCTGTTCTGTGCAGACTTCTGCTGGATGTGCCTAGGTGATTGGAAGACTCATGGTAGCGAGTACTATGAGTGCAGTCGGTACAAGGAGAATCCTGACATTGTCAACCAGAGCCAGCAAGCCCAGGCCAGGGAGGCCCTCAAGAAGTACTTGTTCTATTTTGAGAGGGTAGGTGTTCTGCCTTTCTGCATTGTACTCTTTCTCCAGTTGGCCTGCTGAAGTGAGGTAACTGGGGTAACTGGTAGCCAAACCAGCTGTTGCACATAGAAGGCTGTGATTGGAGCTCCTGCAGCAGCCCTGGGTGCTGTCTCTGTAGATCTGGCTTTCAGATCAGGGCAGTCACAGTTGATGAGAAAGGACCTGATACTCACCCTGGTTGAGTGATGGATTGAAGGACAGACAAGGAAAGTTAAAAGAGTCTATGCCAGCATGCCTATCCTGAATTCTTGAGTGGATCTCTGTCCCTTCCCAGGATGCCTGCACTTTTATCCATCCTTCTCTGCTTTGTAGTGGGAAAATCACAACAAAAGTTTGCAGCTAGAGGCCCAGACATACCAGCGGATTCATGAGAAGATTCAGGAGAGAGTCATGAACAATCTGGGGACTTGGATTGACTGGCAGTACCTACAGAATGCTGCCAAGCTCTTGGCCAAGGTATCTACCACCTCACTTTTTGATCCCCAGTTCCAGGTGGGGCCCCCTGTCAGATGCAGACCTCTGAGGGTGAGAGAGGCCTGTCTTTCTCTTGGGGAATTTGGTACCATACAACTTAGCCGTGCATGCTTCTGTTTGTGTGTCCATATGTACTGGTGCTGGACCTGCTGAAGCCCCAGCCTTCTGCTGGTTGCCCAGATTTCTAAGAGTATTTCATTGTCTGCTGGGAAATTATAGTTCTTTTCTTTTTCTCATCTCTGCATCATTCAAAGGAAAATATGAGATTGTCTTTGGACATGTGTTAAGATAGATGTGTGGACTCTGATGTCCTCAAGAGGGAAAAGTCATGAAGTAGCTACAGTTAATTAATGTTTTAAAAAGGAACTATGGGTGTTTGGTGTGGTGTCCTCTTTCAACTTGGCTTCATATAGAGCCAGGCTAATTTGTATGGCAAGGTAAGAATTATAAAAGACACATGTTGGATGTATTTTGGTTAGAATCAGACACAGGTCCCTTTTATTCTCTCCTGTTGCAGTGTCGATACACCTTGCAGTACACCTACCCATATGCATACTACATGGAGTCTGGCCCCAGGAAGAAGCTGGTAAGATAAAGCAACCCTCTGTTCTGTTTTGTATGTTCTTAGGTATCCTTGTCTACTATCACTTTGCAAGACAGCAGGGACCTGTCTCTGATCGCTGGGAGGGCAAAATTAAAACAATCTAGCAAAGCATCATGGCATGTACCTGTAATCCCAGCTACTGGAGAGTCAGAGCAGGAGGCTTACTCATTGAACACCAGCCTGGACAATTTAGTGAGATTCTGTCTCAAAATAAAAAGGAATGAGAGTATAGATCATTTAGTTCAGTAGTATAGTACTTGCCTAACTCATGTGAGGCCCTGGGTCCAATTCCCAATACTGCGAAAAATGAAAACTGTCCAATTGCCGAATTCTGTTTCTGCTCTAGGAATCTCCAAAATAGATCTCAGGTACTGTCATTTTGTTTCAAGTAAGGCAGATTGATCTCAGCTCTTGAATAATGATGTTTAAAGCACAGTCAAGTGAAAGGGTTATGGCCACTTAGAAGATCCATGCTTGGGAGTACATTGATTATGCATAGCCCTAAGTTACAGTTAAACCCACCCCCCACCCTGCTGGTACTGGAGATTGAACTCATTGCCTTCAGACTAAGTTACAGCCCTAGCCCTTTTTATTTTTCATTTTGACACAGTTACACAAGCTAGGCTAGACTCAAAGTTACAATCCTTGTGCCTCAGATTCTGGGGTAGTTGGGATTACAGATGTGAGACACCACACCTGGATATAGTAAACTTTTTTATTGCTTTAATTTTTCATTTTATGTATGGGTTATTTCCTGCTGATTCTAAAGTAATTCCCATTTATTGTTCAGATGTTGGGAAATACAGCAAAGCATTTACACCATCCGTAGTCCCACTATAAGGAAATAATCACTGTTAGCATTGTGCAGACTTTTCTTTTTGTTTGCTTTGATTTTGATTTTGGTTTTGGTTTTGGTTTTTTGAGACAGAGTCTTGCTTTATATTATAGTTCATGCTAGCCTCAAAACTCTGCGATGATCCTCCTACTTGAGCCTCCCAGGTACTGGGATTACAAGCATGTGCCACCAATGCCCAGTTTAGGATTGTTCTCTTCAGTGGCTTTAAATTCTTCTCCTTTGGTGGCAGATGGCAAATGTGACCTTGCCATTTGGCCATGCTCTTTGGGTAGACTTTTGTTTGGATCTCGTTTTCTGGCTCTAGGAGTAGGGAATGGTGTGCTCTCTGAGGAAAGTGTCAGGGCTGTCTGTAGCTCATGCAATCCTGAGGTGCTGCATGTGCCCTCCCATCTGCAGGCCCTGCCCATATATAGCCCCCTCTCCTTTTGACCCTTTGCTCTCCCCATACAGTTTGAATACCAGCAGGCTCAACTGGAAGCTGAGATTGAAAACCTCTCATGGAAAGTGGAACGTGCGGACAGCTATGACAGAGGGGTAAGTGCCTGTTCTTGTCTGGCAGATGAGAGGGGACTAGCACTGTAATAAGTGACAGGGAGTTGGCATGTAAATTGTAAGCTGCTGCTAATGGAGGTAGGAAGGGCAGTGCTAGGCTTTCTTGTAGCCCTTGGCATGGTAGATGGCTTTGGTTTTTCCCTGCTCCTAGCACTGATCCATGCAAGCACTCATCTTGCTTCCCTCGTATAGGACTTGGAGAACCAGATGCACATAGCAGAGCAGCGAAGGAGAACCCTGCTAAAGGATTTCCATGATACTTAAGTCGGAACATGGATGTGCCGGGGTGAAGATGTGGCTCCAAGGTCTCCCGGCGGCCATACTGCATGCTGCAGGCTCTGCCTTTTACAACCCAGGTTGCAGCCAGGGCCCCACTCCTGAGAGACATTGGCAGCACATCTCTTAGTTGATTTCTGTTTTCTTCTCATCTTTTGCTTTTTGTTTCTACCAGGGTAGAGGCCATGTTGGTTTGACCTCTTTTCAGGACTTTTAATCCCCCCTGGATGGTTGTTGGGAGGGAGGGAATGTTTTTTTCTGAATGGCTATTAATAGAATTAGATCATTACAACTTATGTAATTTTCAAAGGTTGTATAATTATTAAAAAAAAAAGGCAAATAATAGGATAACGCAACGCCCTTTTAAAAAATAAATTGGCATTGGAGTGTTTTCACCTCTAGCTATTTTATTTAGAATGTAACATATACTGCCTAGCCATCCTGCCTCAGAATGTCTGCCTCTGCTTTCCAGCTTCACGTGTTTGGCCACAGCTAGAGTCTCAAGGGAGGAGCATGGGTGGCAGATGGTGGGGACGGACTGAGTTAGCCTGCATGACAGGCATGGAGCACAGGGAATCACATAATGCCTCCTGCCTTTCTTGGGCAATAAAGAGAAAGAACAGAGTCTCCTTTCTGTGGGTTCAACTTTGTTCTTGAAGGTAAGGGTTACCTGGATCTGGCTACTGAGGCCAGAACCTATTGTAGTTTTAGTGGGCTTATAGCCCTCCAAACAGGGGACAGTGGTTCAGCATGGTGCTTCTTTTTGTCTCAAGTTAGACATCCAATTTTGAAGGAAATTATTGCCCAAAGTATATGTACTGCCAAAGCGAGCACAATTGTTGCCCAAAGTAAATTTGCTCTACCTTTATCCCTCCTTTTATGTCAATATCAAATGGCATAACTCTGACCGGGGTCACATGTGGCCATACCTGACACTGTCTTGCTGCACTTCTCGTAAATATCAGATTCAGAGTTCAGCATGGCCCCTCTAAGGGCATTGGCCTTACTGGCCCAGGGACTTGGTTTGCACAAGTTGTTTTTTTTGGTTACTGATAGTATGTCTAGGAGCAGGAGTATAGGGTGTGCTTCCCCTTGCCTGTTTCCACTTGCTAGAGAACCCAACCTTGAAGATCTGGGAGTCTGAGGCCAGAAAAATAATTTTGTGGTGCCTGTTCTGTACAAGGAGGGGCTAGCCAGAGAAAAGACTAGGTTTTGCACAGCCAAGTACAAGGGAGCAAGTAGTTTGCCTGGTGTACAATCTGTCTTGAATCAGGTCCTGTGAGCCTTTGAAGTTTGATCTCTGGGGTTTCTGTGGATTTGTGCAGTGCCTCCACTCTGAGATTAGCAGAATTATACTTGATGGGGCCTCCTTGACCTCTTGGAGAGCCTGTGGAGAAATCTGTGAATATTACAGTGGAAATTTTTTTATACTCTCACAACTTCACCTTCACTCAGCAATTTCCCAGGTATCTTGTAAGGTGTAAAACTGAGTCATTCTTGAAGACAGCTATAACTCCCAAGAGACATGGCCGGCTGCAGGTTCCTTTTGTTCCCCTCAGGTTTTGTTTCCAAAAGCAAGAGGGACTGTGAGGTGGATTGGGAGAACAAGTTCAGAGCCTGGCAAATGAGCCTAGCATGTGAACACAGAGCGCCTGCTGCAGGGCCCTGGGTTGGTATGTGAATGTTCTTTTTCACATGGAATATCCAGGCATCCACAGCCTGTGCCTCTCCATCGAATCCTTTCTGTGGCATTGCAGTGGTACAGCTCAGCACATTAAATCACATTGTGGGTATTTTCTGGACTGCACAGCTGCCATCTTCTGTACTTAACATCCATCTGTGACCTTGATCACTGGAGCTGCTGGGGATTCCGTGTCCAGACTGTGGCTGGTAGTGCTTGACCTGTGGAAAGCTTCCTTTTGTGCCTCAGTGGCTGTCCTTTGTTAACATCATCAGGAGGATGGGAAAGGTCAGGCACACTTTTTTTTTTCCCCTGCAAAGGGTAGAAGAGAGACAGTGTTTTAAGAAATGATCATACCTGATTTTCTTCAAAGAAAAAGTTTAGGAAATGTCATTGCTCAAAGTTGAGTGGTTTATTAAAAATAAATTAAGTTTCTGATTATAAAAATATGTGTACAGTCTTTCTTGAAAGGGCCTAAGTATTCCCCTGAGCCCCTTGAAGGGTCTGGCCAGTGAGCATTAGATGAGGAGCTTCTTGTCACTTGACACCACCCCGCTTCCACTGGCTACTCAGCTCTGCTTTTCTTCCTTTCCTGTTTGTCTGGGAGAGCACCTATGTGTTGTTCTTGCAGAAGGAAGTAGAGTATCTCAAGTTTTATACAGACCTCTGGGCCCTACAAACACATGGAAACATGACGGGGGAGGGGGCGATCATGGCTTTATAGGCCCTGGGGGTTATAGAGACAGCTTAGGAATTTACAAGATTCGCTTACAGTGGCTGCCCACAGAGTGAAGTGTGAAAGAGTGTAAAATGTCTGAGTGCGTGATGTGAATCTGAAGAGTCCAGTCAAAGGCCTGGAGCTCAGTGTGGTATTCTGTGTGAGTACGTATGAGGAGGCTGAAGGGTCAATGCTGGAGGCTGGAGAGTGCACTGGGCACCAGGGAGGATATCCAAGGTGAAAGTAAAAAAGTCTGGAGTTCCTCCAAAGAAAGCAGAAGCAATCCTTCCTTCATTTATCTTTTATACCATACTGACAATAATCCTTCTTAGGGTGGGTCTTCCACTCAGAATCAAGCTGAGCCAATTTAGTTGGGTATTAATTACTGCACTTGAGGCAATCAGTGGTTCTGGTGATAACCCAGAACCTTCAGATTGAACATTCCCATCCCTTTATGTATTTGTTTTGAAACAGGATCTTTTAACACTAAATTGCCTGGGCTGGGTTCAGACTTCTGATCTTTCTGTCTCAGGCTCTCAGAGTGCTGGGATTACACATGTGTGCCAAAACACCCAGCTCGAAACTGAAGTAGTTGGAATTGAATCCTCAAAGAAAAGAACGGGAATTAGGTCTTGGGTTCTGTTCCCCAACATATGTGTTGGGGAATGTGGCTGGTGAAGTGAGAGGCTACTTGTGTGAACTTTACAGCAGTGGTAGACACAGTGGCACAGGCCTGTAATCCAACATTCTGAGAGGCTGAGACAAGAGGATCCCAGGTTTGAGGACTACATAGACCCTGTCTCAAAAACAAAAAAAAAACTCCACACCTCCTCCTCTTTGGGCCTCGGTGTGCCAAGTGCCATACTCAGCACTTGAGTACATATAGTGATAGGCAAGAAGACACAAGGGCTCTACGCTCAAGCCTTCAGTCCAAGAAGGACACAGAATTTGTTTATGGGGGCAACAAGGACCACTCAAGCACAGGACCACCCCTACAGATTAGTGGGTGGGAATAGTACTAGGGCCATTTGCACATATGGTGATTCTCAGAAGGGCTGAAAGAATACAGCACACAATAGAAAGTCTGGACAAAGGACTACTCAGCCCCCAGTGGTTCATGCAGCAACAACCCAAGCAGTGAGTGTATGCTAGGCTCTATTTTGCCTATAGGATACTGATTAGCCAGTCCAATGCCTATTCCTTCAAGACAGTTACATACCCAGTTAGTCTTTGACAGCACACTGTCATTGTCCACAGTACATAGCTGTTTCAAATGAGAAATGGCATAGTGGTGCAGACATGTAGTCCTAGCTAATTGGGAGACCTAAGCAGGAGAAGCACTTGTGCACAGGAGTTTAGAGCTAACCTGTACAATGTAGCATTATACCTATAATCACAGTATTCGGGGTGCTGAGGCAGGAGGATCACTAAAAGGCCAGCCTAAACTACAAAAATAGACTGTCTGCAAAACAAAAAGTCCTCATCTCAAAAACAAAAACTAACCCAAGGGCTGGGGATTTAGCTCAGTGGTGCCACTGCCTGCCTCACAAGTGCAAGATCCTGAGTTTGAGCCCCAGCAGCAAAAATCAAACATGCTTGAAGTTCTAGCTCAACGCATGGCACAGGCCCTAAGATTATAGTCCAGTCTCTGATGTTGCTCATGGATGAAACATCTCAGATAAGAAAGTTAGTGTTACAGAACTGTATGGCTCTGGATTTGTAGACTGCAGCATAGGGAGGCATTTGTGCCCTCCTATATGTAGAATGCTGTTTTTATTCATGACCACCAGGAACAAGTACGAGAGGTCTTACAAGAGTTGGACATGGAGATGTCCCCCATCCATGCCTTACAACAAGACCCTCTAACCCAGTGGTGGGAACCTCTAGGATCTACCTGGTGCTGGTGCTGGGTGGCTCTCTGATGCTGCAATGGAAGTGGGGTTGGTGATTATGTGTTCCTTGTATTCCTTTTCTGGGCTCTGGCACGAGGGACAGCCTTGTGTGCCATTCGCAAGAAGCAGCAACACCCTAACTTTTGAAATGGCGGATGTAGGAAACCACTGTGAGATGTGTTAAACCCCAGGCATCTGAGGACATCAGAGAGCACATGACACAATTCTGTCATTTAGAGGTGCATGACATACTTTGTTGTTATAATAAATCAGCATTGGTGACTGCACATACAACATGGCTATGCAAGGTCTCATGTCTCTTTTGTCTTACTGTGTCTCAGAAAAGCTGACAGAGACACACAGCTCTTGAGCTCTGGAGCTGCAGCTCCAACTCTCATGTTCTGATGCTGGAAATAAAAGTTTGTTCCTGCTTTTTTGTGGTATCTGCTCCATGTGTGTTCTTTTCTTTTGAAACATTGCCTGACTGGACCTCCCTTCAGCCCATTGGCTCTGAAAAGCAACAAGAATAATTCAGCTGAATATAAGTCATAGATAGGATGGATAGAAGGGGTGAGTTCAAGAGAATAAGGAAAGATTTTGTAGTGAACTAAGTATAGTTTTAAGGCTAGAGGGGAGCAGGGATTTAGTTCAGTAGCACCACACCTGCCTTGCAAGCACAAGGTCCTGAGTTCAGTTCCCAGTACTGAAAGAAAAGACAAAAGAAAAAAAAAAGGCTAGAGGAAAATAGTATTTGCATTTATTAGTATCATAAAATCATGATGGGTGTGGTGGCATACGTTGAGGAAAATAGTATTTGCATTTATTAGTATCATAAAATCATGATGGGTGTTGTGGCATACGTCTGTAATCCTAGCACTCAGGAGGCTGAGGCAGGAAGATTGCTCTGAGTTCAAGACCAGCCTGGGCTACATAGTGAATTCCAGGTCAGTCTCAACTACATAATAAAACCCTGTCTCAAAAAACAAAACAAAAAAAAATTATGAGGTCCTTGGTAAAATTGTGAATTGTTTCTATTGTACTAACAATTTAAAGCCGGGTGTGGTGATGCAACACCACTCAGGAGGCTGAGGCAGGAAGATTGCTCTGAGTTCAAGACCAGCCTGGGCTACATAGTGAATTCCAGGTCAGTCTCAACTACATAATAAAACCCTGTCTCAAAAAACAAAACAAAAAAAAATTATGAGGTCCTTGGTAAAATTGTGAATTGTTTCTATTGTACTAACAATTTAAAGCCGGGTGTGGTGATGCAACACTGTAATCCCAATGCTAGAGAAGCTAAAGCAGAAGTAGCATAAATTCAAGGCCAGCCTGGACTACATGGTGGAATGCTAAATCAAACAAATGAAAGTTGAGACTTCTGTCCTACCTAGAGTGAATTAAAGACAAGGTGAGATAGGCATGGTGAAACTCTTGGGAGGCTGAGGCAGGAGGATCATAAGTTTGAGCCCATCCCATGCAATATCGTAGCCCCTGTCAAAAATAAAGATCTGGAGTCTCAGGGAAGGTGGCAGAGTGGTGAACAGCAAAAACAGCTTCTCTGAGGTTTGGTGTCCAGTTCCTGGAATATTGTAATGTGAGGAAGAAGAATTGGTCCCTGGGACCTAGCAAGGATCTGAAGTGAGAATTGAAGCCCACAAGGAGAGCAAAGAGACTTCAGTGAAAAAGGAGGCAGCAAACAATGCTTTCTTCCTGAGTCTAGATTCACTATGTGAGAAGGATGACTTGAACCTGAAGACAGAATATGACTACTGGTGACCCCACAGAAACATATCTGTGGAATGGAGCAGTGGATACAGTGGACTGCAGTGGCTGAGTTATTTGGGTTCCGATGTCCCCTAGGAGAGGACAATTGGCTGGTAGCCATCTTAGAGAGGGCTCAACTGAGATCAGAACTCAGTGGAGCTACAGGCTAGCTCCCTCAAAATGAAGTGGAACTGAGGTCGAGGAGGTGGCACATGGGGTGTTAAGCCAGCAGGATTCACATGGGAAGTACAGGCTGAACAAAATGGTTTTGAGCCTCAAAGCCAGAAACCAGCCTGAGATTCAAAACTAAAAGTGCTAGCTTGCTGCAATTATCTACTACCCTGCTATAAATCTACAGCTGGCTTGTCGGGATTAATCAACCTGGATCTGGACTTTGTATGCACTCCTTGTCTACCAGTGACATCAGAGACATGGCTGTGAAGTGGACCTTTTTTTTTTTTCCTTGTGCTGGGGATTGAACTCGGGTTCTTGCACTTGCAAGGCAGGTGGCAAAACCACTGAGCTAAATCCCTGACCTTTTTTTTTTTTTTCTTGTTTTTGTTTTGTTTTCTTTTTTTCTCTATTCTTGTTTTTATATAAGTGTGAAAAGTATTTGTAGTTTCTTGTTCTGTTCTTGTTTTTATTTCTTACTTCTCTTTCCCTATCTTCTTTACTACATTTGCAAGTTTGTGTAATCTTCCTTTCTTCTCCAGCATTGCTTCTAATCTCTTCCTCTTCTTCTATTTCTTTATTTTTTCCCCCAACCTCTCTAAATTTCCTCCCCTCAGGGTAAAAATTGCCATACTGAGGGCATATTTACTGTATATAATTTTCTGGTTGGTTTTGGATTTTGTTACATTACCACAAATCTAGTTCATATGGTTAAAGGTGGCAAATTAATAGTTAGCACAGTTTGGCATTTTCTAGACTGTATTGGA